CGATTGACGTGTGCGCTGGGTGCTCCTGGCGCTTAGTATTATGTAGTCATGTTTTATATCATCAAATCAAACGTGAGAATCGAGTTTTTAATACAAAACGGTCTCTTACCTTACAACTGAAAGTACCCATGCCATTGTGTTTTGCTCTTATGTAAACTATGTAATGTCTGTGGTTTATTACTGCATTAATCACTGCTCCATGAGACAATTAAAATAAACAGCCTTAGGTTGCTTGTTACGCAAAATAAAATAAGTAAATAATAACGAAAGGGAAAAGAGTTTTTGTTTTCAAAACTTTTACAATATCAGTATTTCACTAAGAAGTTTGTTATCTCATTGGGTTATTTAATATTGTATTGGTTGTTTTAGTAATTTTTCAGCATTACATCAATTGTTTCAGTTAAACAGAAGATCATCTTTTAACTAATTAGAAAAATCATGTTTGATGACTTATCAGTTTATAGCGGTAGCTTCAATTAACTGCAGACTGTAGTTGCAATAGTTAATTATCTTACCTGTTGGAGCAATTTCATCTTAGTAACTTGACCAACAAGTTAGACATACTTAACTTACAAGTCTAGGATAGTATTGTTTGATCTTTTGCAAATAATTTTCTTCAGATGGCAAAACGTTTAAGGCGTAAAAACTCGAACGTTTTTCAAAGTATAGATAGTGCCTGCAGGGTCTCTGTATAAAATTACCGTAAACTGATTTGAAATTGCACTAGAAGTGGAACAGCTTCAATGGAACGTTTCAGATGAATACGAGATACGAGACACTCCTTTACAAACCTGTTTTAGTCACTCACAAATCGTAATGAGTCACGGTAGATTGCATGTAATTTAATTAGCCATCAATAGGCACCAACAGAATAAATTACTTCCTCTAATTTATCTATAGTACACTTGAAAATGTATGGATAATTAATGACTGAATATGTTTCTGATAAAAAATAGAACACCTAAAAAATTGTTTTGAACTATTTACTTTAAAAAGTTAAAACAAATAACAAATGACTTCTTCAAGTCCCCTTTTTAATTTCTTACATTTTACACCATTGATGGCCCGGTCACAATAGTGAGAGCGCTCTTGTAAACAAGCGCAGGTACCCCATGGAATTGCATTGAATATGATCTGATTCATATGTGCAAAATATAGTCCACGGTTAAATTAGTATAAGTTAATTTATTTAACGAGCAAATTCACCTCGTAGTCTTTCCAATTTGATCGAATAAAGCGTTCACAGAATAAAGAGTTACAAAGTAGTATACTTACTGTATATGCACGAAGAACACAATAAACTAATTCAATTTGCTCAATGACATTACGGAAACCCCATTATATAACGATTTGTAGGTCTTTAAATAGTATTGTTGTCACCCAGATACGGTTCTATGGCCTGGACGTGGTGATTTAGGTACAAATGTATACGGTGATCAAAAACACGTTTGTTACCATTATTGGACAAACTTAATGTCTGAAGTTTACTGTGCGAATTTAATTTTAATTGTGCAATTAGCAATAATACGCTAAGAAAAATTAATAATTAATGAAATCCAATAATATCTTACAATAGATGGTAAAATAAATTGGTTTTTCTCTTCTGTTGCAGATAAAAGTGCCTCATTTGGTAACAAGATGCTATTATGGGCTTCATAGTCTCTGTACTACTAGGTAAGTTTTATTTTTTCGTTGTGGTAATTAAACAATTAGGTATTACATTATGACAATTAAAATACAAATGTGCAATAGAATTTTTAACAGTATTTTAATGATGTTCCCTTTCGGAAATTGAATAAACAAAATGGTACTCAAAGCAACACTGAAAAGTGACATCTTTTGGTAATTTGTAGCAATTGAACATGCTTTATGCTGAAAACATGTTTATTTAATTACTAATTTTTTATATTTTGAGCGTTTATAAATCCTTTTGCAATTATTTGTATTGGAACGCTTTGGGGATTCTGTAGGTTAACATATTTTTAAGTATAAGTAGGTTGGTATATATATATTGTTTTTAAACAAAGGATACCCTTCTCTTCGTGAAAGATCACGAAGACTTAAGTCATTGACAGGAAAGAAATAACGTGACGGTAGACCTTCACCACTCCCTATATCTTTTGCATTCTAATAAATGGTAAATGTACAGAACATGACTTAAACACATGTACAAGCGATCATTATATATATATATGTACGTATCTGTTCTGTATTTATAATTTATATTTATTCAAGGAAGGTACAGATCACGGACAATGACTTTTATGTGAACAGAACAAAAATTCTACCTATCAAAGAATTAATCGATCGCATATCAATGCATAAAAGATAAATTTCTAATTAAAATAAAAAAAGAATTGTCATTATTTTCTAGT